CTGTTACCTGTCTAGTCTTGCCAAGAGAGAGAAGGAGGGTCACCTCTTCTGCCAGGTGAGATTCAGAGTTGTTGGAAATACTTTTTAACTCTTGTGTGACTCTCAGTATTGCTGACTCTCCTGTCTAGGCTAGCTAAGGAGGGCAATTATTTCAGTTTCAAGTCTTTAAAGTCTTCTATCAAGTGTATATATATATATATATATATAAAACTTCTCTAGCTGTGGGCTCTGATATAATTTAGGTGAATTTTAGGTGAGATTTCTACAGAGAATTGTTCTGTGCATCAGCCAAAAATAAAACATAGATGCAACTCTTTAGTCTCTTTCTTTGAGTGTTTTGAGGGGCTGATTTTTGTGCATGATCCCTCGCCTTTTCCTGTTGAGTTGTGTTTTTGTTTGTGGTAGATTGTCTGTCTCACTGTTAATCCACTAATTTATATGCATGATGTCTCAGCTTTTAGACATGCTGAAATTCTACACTGGCTTCGAAATCAATGATCAGACTGGAAATGCTTTGACAGAGAATGAGATGACAACAATTCATTATGACAGGATTACATCTTTACAGGTAGGCAGAGATTGAAGGGTTTGGGGGAGAGGAGACATGCAGTTTTGTTAACTAAAACTTGCAAGTAAAATAGACATTATTTCCATAAGCAAATCTATTTTTTCCTATTGATTTACAAGAATAATTCTAATTTGATTTTTTTTCTGTACCATCTTGAGGACTTCATTAATACTTCATATCATGTATGTAGATAAAGTAAAAATAAACAGTCAATATAGAGGACCTAAATAAAGTTACAGTCAGGATCAATAGCCCTCTAATTTGTTCCAGTGAATAAAATCACATTTGGTTTGATGTTGTGATTTAAATTTAAGGTGGCTCGTGTCCACTAAATCTAGTGGTAGGGATTTAATTTATGTTATACAGTAGGTGGCACCATTTCTTCAAAATCTGCTTGCATAGCACAAGCAGTGCTCTCCATAAAGAGACAAACTGAGGTCCATGATCACCTGTAGTTACACAATGGTATAGCTACACTTTCGAATGTTTTTGAATCACTTTTAACAAAATTCAAGTCATCTTCATAAATAAAACTTTTTTCTTGTTGTTGTTATTCTTAGTTGTCTTCAAGATTCATGTTTGTCTCGTCATATTTTTGTTTTGATGACTAACTTGGCCAACATTGATGGGAGGTGTTTTGGAAAGGTAATGGAGTTATAAAGAGGTGATGTTAACTAGGAAAAGTGGAGATTTCACTGCAACTTTTATTTCTGTTCTGGCAGTGTCCACAGAATGAATGCAGCTATGCTTGTGTGTAAATGTTTAGGTTATTAATTTTTTTTTGTTAACATACTTAAATTCAATTTTGCATTGTTTTTCTAGAGAGCAGCATTTGCACATTTCCCAGAGCTTTATGACTTTGCACTCTCAAATGTAGCTGCAGTAGATGCTCGTGAGTCACTAGTGAAGTTTTTTGGACCTCTCAGGTAAGTCATCAACATGAAAGTGAAGTTTTCGTGTTGTATTTTAATTTAGCAAATTTCTTAACTTTTTTATGACTACACATTCTAATAAGAGCAAAATAACCTATTCATATTTATTCTTTCTTGTTGCCTTTATTGAAATAGGGGAGAAAGGGAGAGCTTGAAATCGCTATGAGAAACTAGTAGTGAACAGTCTTAATTACAATATTTAAAAATACTTATTTTGCTTTTCTAGTGAATGTGAGAAATCACTTATTTTCCTGAAAATGGCTAGTTGCTTAAAATAACTTCAACATCAATTACCTTATAGTCATTAACATTATTAAAAAAAAAAAATCTTGCTTTCTCCCAATCTCTAATAGGAATAATAAATCTGTATTATTTTGTTGACTGTATAGTATCGATTGCTCTATAGTCTTAATTGATTGCTCAGTACCGTGGTTACTAGAGCAATAGTCTGTATTTTGACAGACGCAGGGTGTGCTCCAAAATAAGCGTTTTAAGCGGTTGTTTCAAACATGAACCCCCGGGCGGGACTTGTCGCTCGTTGCAGCTCGTGGTTGTGCTTTGGGGACAGGAGCGCCGCCCTGGCCCCCTCCCCGGGGCCGGGTGGCCCTGACGGCAGCGCCGTGTCCCTTCTCCCCGCAGCCCCAACGTGCTCCACCAGGTGGCGTCGCACCTGTGCCTGCTGCCCGCGCTGCCCGAGGGCGGCGACACGGCCCACGACAAGGAGTTCCTGCTGGAGCTGCTGGTAACGCCGCCGCGTCCCCACTCCGGCCGGGTCCTAAAAGCTGTTTGAAGTCTCCTTTGCTTTTCAGATCTTCAGGCTGTGTCAGCGTTATTGTAGCCTTCTAAATAGATACCAATATTTGGATAGCACAACTATTTTTTGTTCTCTTCCCCGGCTTACATTGCCATTTGTGTTTTTTTAAAAAATTGTAGATAGTTTCCTCAGATTTAAATACTTTGTAGTACATTTACAGATACCGCAAGGAAGTATTTGTTCAGATGACATACTTTACTTCTGTGGGTTTGTATATAATATGGAAAATTTCAGGTCAATTACCTGCTAAGCCTTGACTGAATATTTTCAGCTCTTGTGCCCATTTTGGTCAGTTCAGCAGCCTAATGATTGTTGGGCACTAGAACTGTGCTTGATTACTTGGCCCATTTTAATCTTTTGATGTCACTAGCTGCCTTCAGTTTAGTTAATAGAAAATAAAACTTTTTTTAAAAAAATGAGAAATTGGCAAGTAACATATAATCACTGAAAGCCTAGTGGATTAATGCATGTTTATCAAAGATAGCTTTGTAGTCCCATTTCAACCTATGCTCATCTTAAATGCATCCTTTCTTCTTCAGGTTTCCCGTCATGAGCGACGAATATCTCAAATTCAGCAGCTCAATCAAATGCCCCTTTACCCCACAGAGAAGATTATTTGGGATGAAAATATTGTCCCAACGGAGTATTATTCTGGAGAAGGTAGGATTTATCATTCAGTGAATTTGTGTTTTGTTCTAATTGATTTTTTGAATGTTTTTGCAAGTTTAAGTGCTGTAACTTTGAAACTGTAAATGGTGAAAATGAGTAGTCCTGATGTCTGTGTTCATCCTGTCTTTAGAACTTATGTGTAGTAATTAAGCATTTTTCAGGCTTCTAGGGAAGAGTCTTCTCAAGATTTCTTCTCCAGATTTTCAGCTTCCAAGATTTCTATTTATATTTTGACTCTAGAACATTGCGATTAAATTGTTAGCAAATTAATAATTGATTTAAAAACGAAAATCCAAAATCCTTGTAGAAAGCCGCTTACTGCTAGTCTGGGTGACAAATGTGCTGTTGCCACTAATTACAGCACAGGACTTTACCGTGTGATGAGTCAGGTTGTAAAGATGCAGGACAACGACTTTTGTGTGTGCTTCGCTCTTAGGCAAATTCAAGAAAGGCTGTTTTTAAAATACAAAAAAGGCAGGAGGAGACTATTATCTTCCTCTTCTTTCAGGGTAAGACTATATGAATACTCAATGAAATGTAGCACATGGACTGTAGTTCAGATGTGCTTGTAATCAAGGGAGGAAACTGCAGGAATTAAATAATTTTGTTACTTTGCAATAAACAGCATTTGTGTTTTGCCTAATGTTTTTAAGACTGTTGTAACTTTTAAAATGTTACGTGAAAATTTTGAGACAGAACATGGAAATTCCTTATCAATGCATATCAATTCCATATTCAAAGCATAGTACAAAGCTTGTTTCTGGTTTGACCAGTGAGTGTTCTGTGCTTTCCTCCACTTGCTTTTGGTTGAAAGATGTAGGTCTTTTTTTTGTTAGTCTTGGGAATCTTTTCAGCAAAGGATCTTTTTACACAATCATGTAAATGTTACTTAGAGATCTGACCAAGCATTAGGTAGGTAAGGAGCACATTTCATTTCAGTATCATAGAAATAATTTAATGATGATTTCACAATTTTCTGAATAAGTTTTCCTAGTAGAGTTTATTCTTAAGAAAACAAAGGATCAGAGCAATGTAATGTTTCAGGAAATTCATATGTAAAACAGGTTTGTTTGTTGTTCAAATTCTTAGATACAAGTTGAAGTAGCTGTATTTCCATTCAAACTGTATTGGAAAGCTGACTTCCACAGGAGCAACTAATTGTGCATGTACTGCATGCATATATATTTATTCCAGCCAAATGTATTAATCACTATATATGTGGGTGTTTTTGTGTATTTATTAATTATATTCACTCATACTTTTTATATAAATGCAATAAAAACATATATTAGTGTACATATGCATATATAAACTCTGTGGGCAAAAAGTGAAAGAGTGATGAGGTTCAACAGCTGTTTCTGTGCTTTTGTGAATTGTTTTAAATAATTAATTTTGTTAAACTTACAATTTTTCTAAATGTTAATAAGGAAATGCTGTAATTTTAGCAAGTAACAACTGAGGGAAACATTTCTTTCTCCTGAGGTGAACTCCCTTTATTGTTATCTGTGTATTGATAGCAATCCTGAGAAATGTTCTGGAGCATTTCTCTTGCTGTGAAACTGTTACAAGTATTCTCTATTCTGCTTTTCTCAGTGTCAGTTTACCCTTTTATTCCTTTTAATCTTTGTGTATTCTCCAGCCCTGATTTCCTGTCTGGGTGATCTTTCTCTACAAGAGTGGTTGTTACTCACAAGGAGGTTGTGCAGCCAGTAGAAAAAAAGCTAGACAGCCCTAAAATGTGTTGCTTCAGGTCCTATCCTTTGTGCATATAAGTAGCTTTACAGGTCAGATTTGTTTCTTGGTGATGGAAGATGTGTTAAACTTTTTTATCACCATGGGACTTTCCTGAATAGAAATTACTGTATTCTATCACCTTTCTTCACTGAAAAATGTCAGTTCAGGTAAAAGCCAGGATGCAGCATTTATACAGATGGAAAGTTTCAAGGATAAAGCTGCACATTACAAAAGCCTGAACCTTTCATGGGGCTCAAACATAGGTGTGAAACTGTAACAGTATCCCAGTAGGTTTATGTGAGTAACATATGTGAATTGTTATTATGGAGAGTTTACATCTAGAACTATCCTAAAGCTCTCTATATAATTAGATGTTTTAAAACCCCTAACTCAGTTAAAACCATTTTCCTATTTTCATTCTCCCTGAAAAATCTATAATCAGTATGAAAATATTTTAAAGAAAGTTATGTACTAAAAATGTACTGACAAATTTATTGACTTAAAACTCTTCTCTGCATCGATGACTCTGTGGCTTCTAATAAACATAAAAGGCTGGAACTGGCAAATTGTTGAATAATGTGCTGTTTTTTGTTAGTTAATGAGTCTTTCTATCCTTAATAATTGCTGGCTTAAAACTAGTTTAATTGTAGTCTATAGACAGTGAAGTATTCAGTCTTTAAATACTTAGATATACATTGCCAGAAAGATTGGAAGCTCCTTAATTATTAAAGTTTTTGGAGAAAGGAGAGAAGAAAAATGTATATGCCCTTTTTTGAAGTGTAGGTATAAAGGAAAGCTGTAGAGTAATACATTTACATATTTTCTAACATGTAGAACCAATACCTTAACTCATCTTTCTGATCACCCATCAAATATCTCTTCCACTTCTTCCCCAGGTTGTCTTGCACTTCCCAAGCTGAATTTACAGTTTCTGACTCTTCACGACTACCTGCTTAGGAACTTCAACCTGTTCCGGTTAGAGTCTACCTACGAGATCAGACAGGACATTGAAGACAGCGTCAGTAGGATGAAGCCATGGTAATAGTTACTAACTGGCACAGTCCAGTCAGCTCAAACTGTAATGAAAGCATCCTTGAAAATGTCTACCTGTTGCTGTGTGCATGCTAAATGTGTGACAGTTATCCTGTTCTACACAATTATAAAGGTACCATGTTTTATACTTTCTAAAGGTGCTGCCACCCTAGGAGATGACTCTGCACGTGCGTGCTGATTCATATCCCCCTAGAAATGTTAAGACGTTATGTTGGGTGCTAACTAACAGCCTTTGCTGTATTAACAAAGAAGAGCTATATTTCAAAAAGTTCTGAGCCTCGACTGACTTATGTGGATACTGGAACCTTTATCACCATTTTATCTGCTGTATGAGAGGGGTTACTGAGTATTCTTGATTTGCCATCTGTCACAGTATGAGCCCCTTTAGATTTCTAGGGTTCATTTGGTTTGATTATCTTATACCCAGTAGTTGCTTTATGTTATCAACTTGCCTGTTTCTTCACCTCTCTCTGACTTTGGTATTTTTTTAATAATGCCAGCATGAGTTACCCTCATTTTTTTGAAAGGTAAAAGTAAGTCTATTCATGTTACTCTTCAGTTCTGAAATGAAGGATGATGCAAAGCTATTTCACTAACGTGTAAAATTAAGTCTTCTACCCTTTTTCTGTAGAAGTCTCTGAGGTGTGTTATTCACGATGTACATTTTATTTATGTATTTTATTTTAGGCTCTCGGAATATGGAGGTGTGGTCTTTGGTGGATGGGCTCGGATGGCCCAGCCCATTGTCTCCTTCACAGTGGTGGAGGTGGCAAAGCCCAATATTGGTGAAACGTGGCCTATGCGAGTGCGAGCAGACGTCACGATTAACCTGAACGTCCGCGACAGCATCAAGGATGAGTGGGAAGGTACCTGTGTTCTGTGAGATAAGGTTCTGGAAGTAGGGCTGCCTCAAGGTATCCTACTTGACTTTGTTCGAAGAAAAGGTTTTGTATCTGAGCTGAAGATTTGCAAGTTTTAATGTGCTCTTTAAATTATTCAGATTCCAAATCCAAGAAAATTAGACTTTCTTATAAGAACATTTAAGATGATTAAGGTACTAACCACTCTAGGGGAGAATGTTTAGCATTTCACACAGATGCCATTTAAGCTTGTAAAATTTACCTCTTAAGAAGAGCGGAAAAGCTAGTCTATAAAGTTAATGGGCATGGTAGTAATGTCCCATTGGGAGGGTAATGGCAAATATGTGATCTGTCTCATACAAGTGGCAAAGACATATCTTGATTTAGTTTAGAATAGTGTTTTTCAGTAGTTTTCAGTGCATCTGACTGTTGTCAGGAAATGCTGACTGTACTAAATACTCTGTTTCCTAGAAATATCCCCAGTTGTTCCTTTTTCGCTTGGGGAGCTGATACTCAGTTAACCTTGTTGGCAAGTGGCTTAAAGCATGTAGTTGTGCCTGGATTATCAGTAAATTTCACTCCCTTCTCTGTAGCTAGAGAAACCTGTTAAATGTGTTGGAGGTGCATAGTGTAATTGGAGCACATAGCACAAGTGCTAAAAGCTGGAGCATGTGATAAATGGATAAACAGATTGAAGTTTGGGAATGGAAATTTCTATTCACGTAGTTACTCATTAGTGATGTTAGGAATACTGATGTCAGGTAGAGGATGTTAGTTGACTTTACTCCCAAAGGTAAGAGTAGGTTTTGTAAACTTTTGTATGTCTTCGGTCAATGAACCAGGAGCTTTAACGGTAGCAAGGTGATCTTTACTGGCAGTAGTTAGACATCCTCATTTTTACACAGTTTTGCAGAGCATTTAAAGGATTTATTTTGAACTTGGGACAAACCCCTGCAGTTTTTTTAGAATACATTCTACAGTTTCGTTCTTAGTCTTTTCTCTTCCTCTCTCTTAGTATATGGTTCTTGAGTGTTAACCAGTGTTAAACAATTTTTTGCGATATCTCCCTTTTCTTTTTGTGTTTGTCTCCTTATAAGGATGTATTCTGTTACAAATCACTTTCTGATTTCTTTTCATTCACTTTTTAAATTATTTACAGAATACTTTGCCTTCTAATTCACTTTTTTAATTATTTACAGAATACTTTGCCTTCTAATATGCTTCAGGTATATGAAGGTTTGAGGGTTTATAGCATGTGGTACTCCTTTATCATCTGTCCTTCTCTAAGAGCAAATTTGAGAGACCTTATGATTAAACAACAATGTAATTTCCTACACTGCTTCTGATTCAGCAGAGTTTCTGTATGCTTTTAAGCTCTTTAGGATGTGATGTTATGACTTAATGACTTGGATTAATCATGGGATGGAAAGACTTACCTAGTACCTAGTGCATTAATAGGGTCAACACTATGAAATTTTATATCTATGTGTTCCTAAAATCAAATAGCTGCCTTTGGTCGGGTTGTGCTGTCCAGTGTTTTCATCAATCTTTTTAATGCATCTTTTCTTTTTTCATGTTTTGGTATTTAACTGATGATGGTAAAATTCTAGCTTTCAGTAATAGGTCACGTCGCAATGGTTGCTAGGTCACAGGAATATCCCAGAAGCCAATATCCTTATTATGGCACTAGTCTATTACACACACACACACACACACACACACACACACACACACACACACACACACACACACACACACACACACACACACACACACACACAGAGACACTCTTACAGCAGTGCACCTACTTTGAAATACTTGAGCTGTCTCTGTGGTTTCTGAAGCATTAATGCTTTAAATGAGGTAGTGTTCAAAGCTGTTGATGAATCAGGTCTTGGAAGAAGAATCGCCTGCCATAACAAGGTCGTCATGCAACTGCTTTAAGGAGGATAACAATATCCAATAAGTAACAAATTACTGTGGATGAAAAGGATCTTTCAAGTGAGGTTCAGAAAGGATCTCTTCTTGATTCTGTTAAAAGTTTCTGTTAATTGTGTAATGGAATACAGCATCTGTTTAGTAAATTCTGAAGGTCTCGCAGATCTTTGGGAATCTGCAGGTATGCTGGAGGAAGGGATTAGTGTTCAGGATGACGTCAGTAAATTGGAAAAATGGATATTTAAAAATAGGATGTAATTCAATAGGGATGAATATAACATACTAAACTTAGGCAGGAGTAATCCATTGCATAAATCCTTGATGGGGAAATAACTTGTTAGGCATTAACTCTGCAGAAAGAAAAGAATCTGAGTTCATGATGGCTCAGTAGCAAATGTGACTTAACAACAATATTCTGCTACTGAGGGAAGAAGAAAAGCACTCAGCCAGGTTATCCTGGGGTTTATGAACTGGAGCATAGTCTGGAAAACAAATGACTTGGCTGAGTGACTTTCTTTCCATATCTGAAATCCTCACAGGTTTGGGGTGCAAGAGTAGTAGAAGAAGGAACAGTATCCTGTGATTCTGTGTCCACTAAGCTGAAGGTGTATTTAAAAACAGAACGTATTATGCTCTGAACAAATGCTTTTTAGTTTAAAAGATTTTGTTTTGTTTTAAGTATTCTGCTGTATGTATTTTCTTTAAAGGAATGGAAAATGGAAAATAGTGTTCAATCAAACCACTAAATGTTCTTCTTTGGAATCAGGTCTGCGTAAACATGATGTCTGTTTTCTGATTGCGGTCCGTCCCACCCAACCCTACGGCACTAAGTTTGACCGACGGCGACCTTTTGTTGAGCAGACTGGCCTGGTGTACGTCCGAGGCTGTGAAATCCAGGGCATGCTGGATGAGAAAGGACGTGTTATTGAAGAAGGTGGGGGCACCAAAACGTCTGGAAGACTCTCTTTAATTAATCTAATTGTTTATTTGCCTACTCTTTTTAAGTGATGCTTGTTGCATTAATTACCTACTTGTAAAAGCAAGCCAAATTCAGAAGTCATCTTAAAAAAGGTGAATTTGATAAAATATTAAATAGACGTTGTTTTTGGGAATAAAATAGATGATATTTACAAACACTATTTAAAATGAGATGAAAATGTGAAGTAAGAGCATTGTACTGCTACACAGAAATGAGTTTCAGTATAATCATGCCTACATTCTGTTTCAGAAAAGAATGTGGATTGCTTATTTGAATGATAATCTGCTTTTAGTACTACTTCAGATTAAAATCAGTTTGTTTCAATATGGACAGGACCTGAACCCAAGCCAAGACTTAGAGGGGAGTGCAGAACATACAGAGTATTTTTGGATCCAAACCAATATCAACAAGATATGACCAACACAATTCAGAATGGAGCAGAAGATGTGTATGAGACATTTAATATAATAATGAGAAGAAAACCAAAAGAAAACAATTTCAAGGTAAAGTTAGTGGGTATGAATTCTTAGAATCGAAGTTCATTTGAATTTGGTAGAACATTACAAATACTTCTTCATTTTAGCTGCAGGCAGTCAGATAGGCTTTTCAGGCCAGATCAACAGCCTTAAAAGCTAGAGTTCGGGAACTGGTGGTAAATTGCCCTGTGGAACTAAGCACTGGAGTAACTGAGAAGTAGAACCCTGGGCACTGCAGAGGAGAGTCTGGCTGGATCTTCTGTGCTCCCTCCCATCAGCTATTTATGCACAGGTTTATACAGAGCCCCAGCCTGTACTGCTTCATGACCTTATTCCTCCTAAGGTGCTGTGCTCTGCAGTTCACTTTCTTGAACTTACTGAGATTTTTTTTTTGCTTGCCCATGTCTTCAGCCTGTTGAAGGCCTTCTGAATGGCAGGATCTGCTGTATCAACCACTCCTCCCAGTCTTATATCCTCTGCCAAACTTGTTGGCCTTATAAGAGGCCGGACATGAGGACCTGTATGCAGAAATATGTCTAATTATTGATTAAATGTAAATTTCTCATTCATTGTAAAGCCAGGACTACAAACTCGGACCATAACAGGCCGTTTTTATTTTGTATGCAGGTAGTTTTGAATTGTGCCCTTTTTTCCCCTCCTTTGGATGTTCTAAAATAAAAATATTGCTGACCATTACGATGATCTTTCTCTCATTACTAGTAGTTCAGGAATTAGATTCCTTGACACTGATGGTTTGTTTTATACATTGTGTATGCAGTGATATCAGCAGAATATATAGCAACTGATTCAGACTAACCAAACACACAGCAGTGAATACATGCTAGCATCCAGAATAATGGGGTTAGTCGTCAGCATGTCACATCTTGTCAGTAAATAGTCATGCTTTCTAATGAAGTGACCTTTTGTTTTTTCCTACTCTTTTAATTTGCAGGCTGTTCTGGAAACTATTAGGAATTTGATGAACACGGATTGTGTGGTCCCTGACTGGCTGCATGACATCATTCTTGGATATGGAGACCCAAGTAGTGCACACTATTCAAAAATGCCAAATCAGATTGCATCTCTGGATTTTAATGACACTTTTCTCTCCATTGATCACTTAAAAGCCAGCTTTCCTGGATATAATATTAAAGTGACTGTTGACAATCCAGTTCTTCAGATACCCCCGTTCAGGTGATCTAAACATTTCCAACATTCCTGATCTGTTACTCTTGCTGTAGCGCTTTGTCGTATGGAGTAGACTTTACTGTTTGAAGTGAGGTGCTCTTTCTTGTAAGGAAATATCTACGTAACTTAGCAGAAGGATGTAAATTGTTATACAGCAGAGGCAGCTATACGCTACAGGAGCACTTGGGACCATCCTCAGCTCTACTGTATACAAGCCATTGTATACAGCTTGTGCACTGTTGGAGAACAGGGGCCTGGACTGAAGGGAAAAAAAAAAGTGCACATTGGTTCCCTTAGAAGTTAGCAAGAGTTGGAGTTTATTTCTTTTTGAAAGAGTAATCCCTGCCCCCCACACACACACACACTTTTGCCCTGGTCAGTTCATGTCATGACTAAATTGAACCTTGGAGGAGGTAATCTTTCTAGCTTGTTTGAAGCACTGCATCCATCTTACTGCTGTCAAGAATGTATAAGCTTCTAAAAACAATCTGATGTAGTGAATATTCTGAAATGTTTACTTAAAATGTGTGTTCTAGGATAACTTTCCCAATAAAGGGAGGTAAAGGAAAGAAAAGAAAAGAAGAGGATGGAGATGAAGAAAAACCTGAGGAAGCTAAAACATTGATTGTAGAACCTCATGTCATTCCAAACAGGGGACCTTATCCGTATAACCAACCAAAACGGTAAGAACTGCATGGGGATGTAGGTACAAGTGCTAACAGATAGATAGCCATTCTATCTAGGTTGTATGTAGGCTGTAAATGAAATGCCATTTTGGTCTGGCTACCTTCTTCCTGCCTCCCCCGCTCCCTCCCCCCCAAAAAAATGTTTTTTATGTGAGACTATTTGGTTTTATATTTAGAACAAAATATTTTATCCTCTTTATTTAAAACAAATCAATTTGAAGAACGTGATGGGAAATACTGGTTTTCAGTATTGTCGAGACTTTGAATATTAGTATTAAAAAGTTTTTCTTCATTGTCTGTCTTTTACCTATTGATATTTTAAAAATATTTTTATAAACAATTGGGAATTAAAGAACTGTGCTGATTGAATAGTTTTATTTTTGTAAGTAGGTAAAATACTTTTTCATAATACTGGATGTCTTTTATATACTATTACGTAGAATCTCTTAAAAACTATTAAAAATAAGGACATTAAAAGCTAAGATTTCTTTTCAATTTATTTTAAAGGCAATTGGAAATGTAAAATAATTTATAGTAACAGAATGCTGTAGTTTCTTTGTCTGTGACTGTGCAGATGTATCCTGTTCTCTGTGCAACAAATGACTACTTAGATGTTTTAAAGCTGAAGACTTGTGCTTAGAGGTCCAACTTCAACTCCTAGTTACCATATTTCCAGGAGTGACTGTGTCAGGGAAGGAGAATCTAGATGTATTAAACTCTGGTCCTTAGAGAAAGGAAGAATTGTTCAGAGATGCATCCTTGTAGATAAGAGGTTCAGATGCTGTAATAAAAAGTGCATTGGGATTTGGGCTGTTCTTTTGCTAAGAAAGCCTTGGTAAAATGCACTAGGGGTTCTTTGGAAAATTATTTCACTTTCTCTGGCTAGTAAATTGGCCCAAAAGTTTATCAGTACAAATAAGTGCTGATCTCATTTAGAAATGCATTTTAATGTTATTGATAAGAGGTATTTCTACCAAGGCTTCTCATAAAAATTCTTTGATGGATTGCAAAAGCTAACATTGGAACTAATTTGCTTTACTAAATTATTTAAGAATCAAGCTATATATTTGCAGTGAACAAAAAAATTACGTGAAACAGTTCAAGTATTTTAACTTTTTCCCTGCTTGAGGAGAGGTGGCTGAGGTATGTGCTTAATGTCTAATAGAGATGGCCTTGGCAGAACTCCCATGGCCTGAAGACTGGCAGGTCTGAAAGTGTTTTCTTTGTTCGAATGTCTCTCCTAAGTTTTGATCAATTGTCTGAGTGCCTTGTTTAGGAATTCCTAATTTTCTGTATATCCAAGTAGCCTAGCGATGTCAGTTAACTTGACTATAGAATTTAGTTATGATTCTCCTTCTCTATATTAGAGAAATATATTGATTAGTTGAAAAAGTCATTTGCTGCATTCTCAGCAAATACTAGCATCTAAAGACATCCTTTCACTTAGGATGATTTTGTTGTCAAGTAAACACTGATCTACTGTCTTGGCATAAAAATCGCAAGATTGTCGTGTTTATAAAAATGGCACATTAGCTGTAATGATGGTGTAAGCTATATAAAAGATTGTAAGTGTGTAACTCTGGAGAAACACATAGCTATTTCGTTTAAATCCAACTTGTTAAAACAATGGCTTTTACGAAAACTGTTAGCAAAACCTGTGAGCCTTCTGACTTTGTTTTGCTTTGTTACAGCAATACTATTCAATTCACCCATACTCAGATTGAAGCTATACGAGCAGGAATGCAGCCTGGGCTAACTATGGTAAGACTACTTTTAGGGAATCTGTGCTGCAAGTTCTTACCTGATCCTGATGTGAGTTACGTTCCATGAAGTATGTGCTTTTTGTAGCCCCTCTTGGGGGTATGTACACTATTAACAGCTAGAAACATGACAAGAGAGCTTCAATGTCCTCCTTTGACAAAATCATGCCTCAAAAACATACCTGATCAGGGCGTAATGGTATCCTGTATCTCAGTGTCTAAAGGCTTTCCACAGCAACTGAATTTACCTTTTCAAGTGGTCGAAATGCTAGTTTTAGGTTGCAGAGCTATTGCTATGACTGTCATTTCGGCTGTTTTAAATTAGTTGCATCATTTTAAGTTTCATCTGGGAAATGGAAGTCACTGGTTTTCAGGGAGCTGTTTTTTCCTGCTATCATGTGAAATTTAATCTGCAGTTCTGTGTAATCCTGCTGACTCCCATAACAAAGAAGCTTTAAAATAAATCAAAACTATAGATTTGTTTTGAAAGTAAGTTGTATCCATTGGAGTTCTGCAAAGGGCTATACAACTTACCATTCTTTATTAGCTCTTTTGAATAGAGATGCTTCCAATGAAGTACCATCTTATCTGCTGCTGACTCCTTATTCGCCTAGTATGTGATTAACTTTTCTGTATTTGTTACAACCTCTTACTCTATGAACCTCTTACTCTTTGGACTACTTGGGCATTAATGCTAATTTTTAGATTTGAATTAGAATTCGTTAGCACCAACTCCTTCTCTCCTTGCCTTTCCCCTTGTCTTTTTGCCTCTCCCTGAATACTTGCAGCACACATAATACAAGGCAGAGGGAAAAATAACTTCAGGAGCTCTGTTTGTCCTTTCTCACTGCTTGACCAATCTGCCCAATTCAGTGGTACTGTAAATATGCATAAAAGTTATCTGATTTCTTTCTTATTCGTTTGAGGGTTTTTTTATTATTATTGGTAGACATAGCAGAACTTCCTGGGGCTTTAAGATCTATTTTGAAATGTAAGCCTTATCAGTTCATAGTATATAATTGACACACAAAACACTAGGTGGGTCTCTAGACAACAAACAAGAATGTAATTCTTATTTTCATTTTATTTTCTTAAAGTAGCATTATGTATTGTTTATTAATATCACTTAATCTTTGTTGAAGTGGTAATAATAACTTGCCAATGCAAGCATAATGCATTAACTGCCAGCTACCTCCTTTTAGATAACTTTAAAGGAGAAAGTATTTTCCTGTGTCAGCTATTTTGATATTTTATGTAAATGATTAGTATATAGCTTGCTAGATATGTCAAGAAGGGGGGGAAAAATGACAATCTATTTTTTTCCTTTTTGAGGGTCTGATTTTGCACTAATCATCTGTTTTTCTTTCTGTGGGGGGAAAGAAGGAAAACTTTCAAAAACCATTTATAGAATGGTAGGCCTACATATATATTTGTCATCATCAGCACATATATTTACAAGAAAGAAGCAGGTACAGTCCTAGACGCGATTTTGACTCTAGTTAAGGTTGTCTAATGCAAGCATGATTTCCCAGCAACTTGTAACTTTATTTTGATGCAGGAAACTTGCTGTTCTGTGCTTAATACTGTACAAATGACTTTGGGTTATAATATTTTTAAAATGTTTTGAGTGAAATTTCTTAATATTGTTGCTGTAATTGAACCTATAAAAATATCAACATATATATTTTATGGACAGCTCTAGATTTTTGAATAAATGAAGAGACTGGAGTCTGTCATTTTATATCCACCTCTTATATGAAGGGCACTTCATGTGCTAGCTGACAGTACTCCTCTTTTGCAGGACTGTGCTTTATCATCAGGTTAAGTCTTTCACAGTATATTGCATGCTTACAGAAGCTACCTAGTAATTGTAGGTGAAAGATAAGGTTTTTGTCATTAATGCTGAATGTCTGTTGTGTTAGACTGCGTTTTTTCCTGAGAAGCTCTAAAGCTTTCCCATGAAGTAGTATCATGAATTATATGGAAGTGATGATGTTTTTCTTGTTTTGTTTTTAGGTAGTGGGTCCACCTGGTACTGGAAAAACTGATGTAGCAGTCCAGATAATATCCAATCTTTATCATAATTTTCCAGAACAGCGAACTCTTATAGTTACCCACTCTAATCAGGTAAAGTATATAAAATTTTCCTGTAAGAACAACAGATGCTGAGATTAGTTGTTTCATGACTGCAGTTGTTTCTAACAATGAAAACTTGAGTCAGTTTGTGTACAGTTTATGTACCAGCTTTATAATACGAGATTACATTTTTGAATTTCAAGTTCATAGTTCTGAGATGTCAGATAGTTTTCTTATATTTAGCTGCTTGGGGGTGGAAATTAGAAAGTATTTTGAATGTGTCAGCACTGTTCTCACAGTTGCACGCTGACAACAAACCAAATTTTTTGCTAACAAGCTGATTGGGTCTCTGGTTGCTCTATGTTTTTTTATGCTTCCAAGTGAAGACATGAAAGGTAGCATGTCACCTTCAGCTGGCTATTTACCTCCCTTTCACAAGAAATGAAGACTAACTGCTGCTTACTCGGTCACCATTAAAATAGAAAAATGTCTTAAGGATTCCTATTCTGTAGCTGTAACTGTTTTAAGAGGATTTG